GGAGGGCGGGCCAGGGCAGATCAATGAGGGAAGGGCACGTCTGCACGGAGATGGTGTTTGGGAACTGGCTCACCCTGTGGGAAACCAGGACACCACCCACACGGCGGACTCTGGAGGACAGAAAATGTGAGCGTGAAGGAAAAACCCGAGGGAAGGAAACAAACGGAGAACATGGTGTAGGAGAGGCGGCCTGTCTCCAGACGCTCGCCAAAAGAACGAAGAAGCAACAAGACGATCGATCTGGTGAAAACGGAATTTAAGCTCTCTGTTCAGCAAAGCGGAAGTACCAGCAAGCGTTTAACCAGATGACAGAATGGAGAAGATGCTTACAATGAGTGAAACCAGGGAGGGATGTGCAGTCCCAAACACAAGTGACCAAAGGTTTCACGCAGTCACATCGGAGGGTGCCTGAGAAGAGAAGCAGGTGCCGGTGAAGACGCTCCCGGTGAGTGTGCGGATGTCAGGTAAATTCGGAGACTGCTTAATGCCCATTCCCCTGCACACCTGCGGAAGCCAGACGGTGCTGAGGGAGGCTCTCGGGGACAGGAATGTCATGGCTGGTCGGAGTGGGGGCTGGAAGGGGGCACAGCCAGGCGTCCCCAGCCAGGTGCAGGGTCCCGCTGCTCTGTTCCCGGGCTCCTGGCCCTTCTGTGAGGTTTGAGAAGGCGCGCAGAGCCTTGCAGTTTCCAATATCCACAGAAGTCATTCTAGAGATGTAAGAACTCATATTTTCAGTTTATGGGTAGTTGGGTTTTTGTTTTGTTTTTTTTCGGAACTGCTGCTACTTTGTTAGGACCTAAATACCTATTACACTTTTGGGTCCCGATGAGCAGACCTGTTAGATATTTATTCCGAGCCGTGGGTACTGGGAAGAGCCCCGGGGGAGGGCAACGCCAGACCCCAGGACGTGACCTCGGGGGAGAAACACCTGCCGCTGCCAAGCTCCCCCCAGGGAGACAAGCCCCAGGCCCATCCAGCCTCTGCTCCCGCTCACATCCTGGCGTCGCCATCACAGCCACATCTGGCCCTCGATGATCCAAACAGCTGGAAAACTAAACCAGAGGAGGGGTGTTTGCACAGCCATGAGCACCACCGCATTATCCACAGCAGCCAGCAGCTGGGAGACGGAGAGGGGGATGTGGTCCGTCCATAAGTGGAATCTTCCTCACTCTTAGATTAAGGGGAGAGTCCTGAGCCCTGCCACCGCAAGGCTGAACCGCGGGGGCGCCGAGCACAGAGTGACCTCAGCCACTCACAGGACGACACACCGTGTGACCCACTCATCGGACGTCCCTAGAGGAGTCCGTCCACATGGACAAAGTGGGGTGGGGGCGCCAGGGGCTGGGGGGGCGCTGCGTGTGGATGGGGCCAGAGTAGCACTTGGGGAAGATGACAAGGTTCCGGAGATGGTGCCTGGGGGGCTCAGTCGTTAAGTGTCTGCCTTTGGCCCGGGTCATGGTCCCAGGGTCCTGGGATCGAGCCCCGCATCGGGCTCCCTGCTCCGCGGGAAGCCTGCTTCTCCCTCTCCCACTCCCCCTGCTTGTGTTCCCTCTCTCGCTGTGTCTCTGTCTCTGTTGAAAAATAAATAAAATCTTTAAAAAAAAAATTAAAAACTGTCCCCAAAAGGGGAAGTAACAAATCTCGGGTGTTATAAATAATAATCTGAGTAAACCGGATGGAAAAACAAGAGAGCCATCAGTTCACATGCCACACAACCAAGACAGCCACAGACCCCGGATCCAAAATCTACCAGAACCCACCCAGCCCCGCCTGCCCCCCCACTGCCTCCTCGGTGACCCCCAGCACGTCTCACCCTCCCTGACTCCCTCTCTGAGCACTGTGCGGCCCCACAAATACAGACCCTGTTTCCTCTGTCTGACCACCCCCTGGGGTCACTCGGTGCCCGTCCTCTAGGCCTCTGACCACCACCCTAACCCCAATGACAAGGCCGTGGCCACCCTGTTTATGGGGTTTAGTCTCCGCACCCCAGGGCACTGTGTGAATCCTGGTTGACGGATGAGTGGGGAATGGCCAGCTCAGCCAAGAAGGGGCAGGGAGGGGAGGACGGTGCTGGCCTCGCTCAGAACCCAAGACCCTGTGAGGACACAGGAGCATGGGGACCCGTGCAGGTCTGGGGGCCACAGGCGCAGGGCAGGACCCGGCGGGGGGTGAGGGGGTGGCTGTGCACCAGGCCACCAGCTGTGTCTCTCGGGAACACTTACAGGTGTCCACAGGAGGCCTCCTGACTGCCCAGGTCCAGCCAAGGTCGACCAACGGTGTGAGGAGGCCCTGAACTGAAGGGACAGGAAGCGAGCCAGTGGGTGGTGAGGTCAGCGCCAGAAGCACCCTGGAGCCAGCACGGGAAAGGTGGCCGTGGTGCGGCCAGTGAAGTGGATGCACCTGTGTGCAGGGCTCGCCCGTGGGTCCTGCTGGCACCGTATTCAATAAGACACTGAAGAGGCCGGCACGGGTACAGCAGACGCAGGTCCACAAAGCCCACGGGCCGTGCCACCGAGACCCCTCCCCGGCCTGTGTGGCTCCCGCTCTCAGGGTCTCCTCGTGGGTCACCACCGTCTGTGACCTGTCTGTCCTGCCCCCCACGTTCCGGGAGGCCTGGTCACCGTGCTGCCCGCGGTCCACTCCTACCGGGCCGGCTGCTGTGCGGGCGGCCGTTGGCAGGTCACAGAGCGTTTCCCAGCGCTGGCTCAAGCCCCCCGCCCCTGGCCTGCGCTGGCCCCGCACCCACCCAGCGGGTCCGGGTCACGTCGTGATCCTGGTCCCTCTTCTCCGGGGTGCCTGCCTTCACAGGTCACGGGAATTCTACTCTGGCTCGTCTGTCCTTGTCTCTGTGGGGTCTTCTGAGCAGGTCTCCGGTGTCCCTGCGGCCAGTGGAGCGTGGTGTCCTTCCCTCCCGCGGCCGCACTGTCCTTCACATCTCCCTGGGGAGCCGGGGGCTCCCACTGTGCCGACCTCACAGAAGCCTGCCTGCCCAGAGCAGCCCGCTGCCCCTCGCTGACCCTGCTGCACCCCTCCTGACCCCCACTGACCCCACTGCACCCCTCCTGACCCCTGCTGCCCCTCACTGACCCCAGCTGCACCCCCACTGCACCCCTCCTGACCTTTGCTGCCCCCAGCTGCACCCCCACTGTCCCCCGCTGCCCCTCGCTGGCCAGGCCAGGCCACAGCCTGCACCTGCTTCTGTTCCAGTGGCTGTCTCAGGCCGGTGGACCTGTCGCATCAGCGTAGGGGAGGCGGGGGAATGTCAGACGGCAGCCCGTGGACAGACTCGCTGGTTCTGCCCTGCGCCTCCTGCCCACCACTAAGTGTTTGCTAACTTACCATGGCCTTCATAAGAGCCACACAGGGCGCACCTGCTCCCCGGGCCACCATGAGTGTGCCTGGCCTCCCCCCAGACTGGGCCTCTTGGGGCCTGTCCCGCCCACATACCCCAGAGTCCACACCAAAGTCACAGACACCGTAGGGTTTTGAGTGGCGTGTATTGGATCCACACATCAGCTTGACAAGGGGCAGCTCTGTAATCCTGAGCTTGCATGTGGCTGCTAAACCTCAAGTTCCCAAGGGCCAGTGGGTGTCCTGGCTCAACAGCGGTCCCCAGAAGGCAGGGGGCTCTGGGTGGACTTGTTTCCCAGATGAGGAGGGTCCCATCGCTGGTTGGGATGGCTGAGGGCATGGCAGGCAGAGAGGGGTGGCTGCAGGGAGTCCAGAAGGGACTTCACACATTCGGAGGGCTGCAGGTGGAGGGTCGAGGCCCCGTGGGCCCTGGACCACAGCTGGAGCCCTGAAGAGGAGCTGGGAGAGGGGCTGTGGTTTGGAGGGAGGGACCCCAGCCCAGAGACTGTCCAGGGGCCAGGCCTGTGAGGAGAGGGTCAGGGATGCCCTCCTGACCAGTCTGCCTGGTCTGACCAGTGCAGACGGAGGCACTGGGATGTCCCCCAAGGGACGGGGAGGGGCCGGGGTGGCCGAGACCAGCCCGGTGCTTCTGGGTGTGAGCGGTCACTCCGGCAAACCCCTGGCCAGCCAGGAAAAGCCAACGAGAGAACGTTCTGCCGCGTGTCCTCGGGCCTGACCTGGCCGGCCGGAGGCAGCCAAAAGGCCCCTGTACCAGCCCAGCGGCAGGCTGGGGTTCAACTGCCCCGAGCCAAGGGGAGCCTGGCGAGGGAGGCAGGATGTCTGTCTGTGCTGCTGGGTGAGGGGTGCCGAGAGGCTGGGCCCCCTGGGGGGGGGGCCTGTTCCGGCAGGCTGGGGGCCACATCCCCCGGGCACAGATGGCCCTTTGTCAGGGCCGAGCCCAGCTCCCCGAACAGTCTCATGCACAAAGCCCCCTCTGTCCACAGTGGCCTCCCCCTCACCCCCAGCACCGCCCCCAGGAAAGGAACAGCGTCCCCCACCCCCAGGCTCCCAGCCAGCATCCCTGCCCAACACACGCACGCACACCAGGCACAGGCTCAAGGTGGGGCGTGCAATGGGGCCAGGACGCAGTGTGTATGGGGGCATCCAGGGCTATCCCTTCCCCCAGGACCCTGATGCCCAGCCCAGGCTGCAGGCCATGCCTGACCCTCCAGCATGGGGGCAGCCCTGGACCAGCCCAGCTTTGGCTACCACTACCCAGGGTCCCGTTCCCCTGGGCCTGAGCACAGACCTGACCCTCCCCAGGCAGGAACCTGGAAGGGTGGCCTGGCGGGGGGGGGGGGGGCCAGGGCAGAGCTTCACCCCTGCAGGGAGGCCTCTACAACTTATTTCTGCATACTCTCTTGATCCTGAATGCCCACAGACACCACATTGGGCCTGTCGTGCCTGCCCCCAGTATGGCTAGCCAAGGGCCCGGGCTGTGCCCAAAGCAGGGACATCCAGGGCTCAGGGGAAGCACGCCACAGGGTTGTGCCTGCATCATCCCTGGGGCCACCCTGAAACCTGCCCCTCCGAGGCCCAGCCAGGGCGTCAGGGCCGGTCCCCCTCAAGGAGGCCACACCCACGGGCCCTCAGCGACCGGGCGGCAGGATCCAGAGAAGGCCGGGCCGGGCTCCCGCCAGCCTGGTCAGCTCCTGCCAACACCGGGTCTGCAGCCGGCCCAGCACAGCCTCCAGGCAGGTTTCCCGGCTCCTCAGCACCCCAATCAGCTCGGCAGCCCGCAGGCCTGGACCCCCCGAGGCTCCGGCGTCTCTCTTCACCAGCCGGCGGGGCCCATGGGGCTGGGCCAGGGCCTCACCTTGCTCCCAGGCCCGCTGAAGGGCGGCCAGCTCCCGTCCTACGGCCTCCTGTGAGGCCCGCTGCACAGCAGTCCGCTCTGGCCCCCGGCCTCCAGCCTGCATGGGGGAGAAGGTAGCTCTGGAGCCTGCCCAGGACACCGGCTTTGCGCCCCCTTGGCCCCAGCACCAACCCCCAGCAGCGCCCTGAGAAGGGCTGACAGCCCAGAGCCCACTCCTTCCCGGGAAAGGGGCCGGCCCCAGTGCCAGCTCTCCGGCGCCGCCCCTCCAGCCTTCACATCACCCGCACCGGAGCCCTGAGCCAGCAGAGGGGCCCCGGGGACAGGGCCAGCAGCCTGATCCCCCGAGGGCCCGGCAGCACTACCCAGCTGCAAGGCCCCACCTGCTCACCCAGGTCACCAAGTCCCCCGGGGCCCGTTCAGAGCCGAGCAGACCCTCGAGCCACACCCCCAACACTATCCACCACGCTGGGGTCAGTGTCAGCCTTGCACACCCACTGTCCTCTGCTGAATCGGCCTCCCGCCTTCCCAGTGCTCCCAGGACAGGGGAAGCGTGCAGCAGGGCTGACCCAAGGGGACACTGCCTGCATTGGCCGCTTCTGACCCTCCAGACGGCCTGGGGCGGGGCAGTGAGAAAAGGCTATGCCCCCAGGTGGTGGCCCTGACCCTGGCCCTCGGTGGGCTCTGCCCCAAGGCCCTGCGCCGTGGCGGATGAAGCGCCTACAAGCATCAGGCACGCCCCAGCGGTCACCACAGCAGAGGGGAAGGGGCTGCTAGCAACACCCCCGCCCCGCACAGCGTCCTGGAGACTTTAGGGTTAAACTGCCCGCAAGTTCCTCAAGATGCTTCAGGAAACCGCAGGGACTGTGGCCTGCACAGTGCAGCGTGGGCAGGGCTCGCGTGAGGACACTGGGGGCTCCTCGTCACCTCGCACCCTCCCGGGCCACGGCAGTCGCCCTCCCAGCCTTGGACTCAAGGTGAGTTCCACGAGGGGCTGTGTAAACGCACCCTATGTCAGCGCCCCAAACCCTCACCCTGGCCTCCCAGGCCACCCGCCGGGGCTCCGCCGCTCCCCGCAGCTCCTCATGCAGGGCCTGCAACTCCCGGGCCACCAGCTCCAACTCGCTGGCCCCCACCGTGGGGGTCCTGGGCAGAAGCGTGGGCTGTGAGGCCTCCAGGGGGCAGGCGCCCAGGACGGTGTCCTGCAGAGAGACCCAAGTAAGAGGCAGGCAGCGAGCCCGGGCCTCGTAAGCACAGGCCCAGGCCCAGCGGCACAGCCAGCGGGGACAGATGGCACAGAGGCCCGAGGACAGTGCCCACCCCCCCCA